TGAAGGTGAGACCCCACCTCCCTAGGTCTCACCTCCCTAGGTCTCACCTCCCTAGGATGGCGGCACAGGGAAGAGGGCATTTATGGGGATGCGTCACAGGCAAGACCCAGAGAGAGGGCCCCGGTTTTAGATAAAGCTACTGAAATGAGCTTTATGGACTGAGAACAAATGATGGGTCCCCATGTGACCCTGATCTCCAGGGGTCAGAGGCTGAGGACGGGGTGGGGGTACGTGGCTGCAAATGCAGGAGCAGCCATCAGGCCCCATGTGACCTTCAGAGCCCTGAGGAGGCACCAAACCCAGCTGAGGGGACCAGGGGAGGCACCCCAGAGGAGGTGACCTCGGAGGGAAGGTACAGCCGCGAAGGCAGCCAGGACATTCCCGTCTAACCCGCACATTCGCGAACTCCTTGACAGCAAGGATTTTGTCTTATGCATCTTTGTTCCTCCCAGCCTGGAGCAAACACTGATAAAGATGAGGGAGAAATGGAAGCAAAAACAGGAAGGGCAGAAAGAAGGCAGCAGGCACAGCTTGGCAAGGACATGGCAGGGGAACGTCGAGGTGTGGCAGAGAGAGGGGGAAATAGAGGCACAGAGCTGGATTCTTGTTTTGTCCTGACAGGTCCTGGCTCAGTGGCTTTTGGAGTCACTTCGCTTCTCTGAGCACCAGTTTCGTCCTCTGTAAAAAGGGGGTAGTAATAGTGACAAGAGTACCAAGTTCACAAGGCTGTTGTTAGGCTGAAAAGTGTCCATAAAAACATTTTTAGGGTTATTCATGTTATAGCTGGTGCGTGGAGAAATAGCCTACGAAAAAATATTGCCACTCCCCAGGAGCCCGTGGAGCAATTGGCACCACAGGAATGGCGCCCGTGGCCACCGTGGAGACCCAGAGGCTGCCGTGACTCTGACGTCAAACTAGCTACCCTTTGAACAATTCCTCCAGGTTTTCCCAGCCACATTCCTGGGGAAAAGCCAGGGAAGGGAGGTCCAGGTCTGTTTCAGCCAACAAAATTCGGCTAATTAGGCAGAAAGCTAAGAAGCCAGGAGGGAAAAAGGGATCCAAACAGGAAAGAAATATAATGGTCACTCGGTAAGATCTAGAGTGTGCCAAGGACTTAGACTGCTTATGTCAAGATTGTGCCCTGGCTTTTTGATGAGGAATCAGGAGCTCAGGGAGGTGAAGGAACTTTCCCAAGACTATGAAGCTAAGAGGATATGATCTGAGTTGCCCGGGTGATCCTCGCCCCAAAGCCCGGGAGATCCCCAGAAGCCCTCTCATCAGCTTAACACAAGCGGCTTCCAAATGCAACACTCAGCTTCTTGTCATGCCAGCCCAGGGACACCCAGGCCCGAGAGCATGCCCAGATGCGCCAGCAGCCTACATGCCACAAGCGCCTTCCAAGTTCCAACACCTTCTGTAACACCAGCATCAGCCCCTCCCACAGCACTGGCCCAGCCCACAGCATCAGCCCCTCCCACAGCACCAGCCCCTCCCACAACATCAGCCCCTCCCACAGCACTGGCCCAGCCCACAGCATCAGCCCCTCCCACAGCAAAATCAGCTGTAGAAGAACCAGGCTCCCATGAGTAAGAAAGAAGGAGGGGCTTCTCTTTGCATGCCCCCCTCTTGTCAAATAAGACTGATGAACAATATGTCAGGTCTGTGGTCCTTTGCAAGAGCCTTCTGGTTTTAGAAAAGACAAATATTCCAGGCGATTCTTCCAGCCAGTCTTCCTCAGATCGCCCCTCCCTGCCCTGTTCTCTCTCATTCTCTCTCACAGCATAATTGCGCTGAGCTGCTCTCTCCAGGTCAATTCTGGAATGTGAAGTCATAAGCCCTTCCACCTCTGCAAAGGTATTAAGGTATTAAAATGAGGGATGGAGGTATCTGTGCTGTCCCCATGGTTACCCCTGCGTGAGTACCACACTGGGGGCGTGGCCCAGCCCGGTTTACCCGCACCTGCTCTCTGAGCCTAGCAGAATGCCGATCTCCAGCCGGGGGGTCTCCAGCCCCAGCCTCCATCCTGAGCTCTGGGCCAGCCACTCCCAAGGGGCGTCAGACCACCCCTGCAACCACCGCCTGCACCAGGCACCTCACGTCAGTGCGCCCCCACCCCACTGCCTCCCACTTCAGTATGGCATTTCCTGGACCATCAGCCACGCCAAATGCCGGGAAGCCCTCGAGCCCCCTCTTTCTTTCCCAGCCAGGAAGAAGTCCTGTCAATTCCACCTCCGTATCAGCCCCGCTGCAGCTGACAGCTCCGGCCTCAGACTCTTATCCTCGTGTCCCCTCGCCCCAGCGGACGCCTCCTCCGCAGGGCACAGGGCCCAGGGGGAGCTCTCTTTAGGAAAGCAAACCCGAGCTAACAAAGGTTCGCAGCTTTACATAAGCAAAGGAATCGCACCATTCCTCCCATTTCGTTCCAAGTGGCAGAGTGCTCCACCCGCATCTGACAGTCAGTGCCAACAAGCGGCTGTCCCCTCGCCCAGCCTTCTTCCTCCCTGACCCTCAGGTCTAATCGTGTCACACTGCATGGGAAGCTTCCGCAGGCCCTGGAGCCCGGCCTGGCCACGGCGTGGCTCTTAGCTGACTCGCCTCTATTCCCACCTGTAGCTACCAGCTGCAGGCAGCATGGCCGAGCAGGGGCTGGCCAGGCCTGGCTCCGAGCGCCGGCTCCGCCGCTGGCTAGCTGGGCGGCAGGTCACATCGCCGCTCTGAGCCATAGTTGCCCTTTAAGAACTGGGGGATTATGGGATTATATCAGTTTCTCAGAGGTTTCTGAGCGCTCAGTATGATAAAACAGCCACATCACCAAAAGTTGCCAAAGAGAAAACAAACAAAACCATGCTCCAGTGGGGACACAGCCACAGATGGCAATTTGATACATTTCTTTCCATATCCTCTCTCCTCTGTATACTTGTGGGGGGTTTTATAGTTCCAATCCTAAAAAACATCTAGTCATAACCTCTGCTTTATTCACACAATCTTCTCTGTAATGTATTTGCCCAAATTATTGCACATCTTCATAACCATCATTTTAAGTGACTGCAAAATAAGGAATAATTTCATCCAAAATTGGTAACACTATTTGGTAAAAGAGTACATTTTAAAAGTAGCTCTAATTTTGTTACTTTTGTTACTTTAACATTTTAAAAGTAACTAGAATTTTGTTGTTGTTGTTATTGAAACAGTACATGCTGGTATGAAATTTCGAAAGCACAGGAAAGTAAAAAGAAGATGGAAGTATCTCATAAGCCAGTAATTCATAGTAAACTAAGGAGTATCTGGGAAAAAAAAAAAGGAACCGTTTAACAGTTCTTAGGAACTGTTAAAATAGTCTACCCTCTGGATGTGGTCGTATTTATGGCATCACAAGAGGGCGGTTGATACTTTAGCATGGTTTCCAATACCTTGGTTTTATAACAACACTGCAGTCAACCTTCTCACACAAGCATCGGGGCATATTTCTGATGCCCTTCGCTGCCTGGCGCACGCGCACGACACACCAGGCCACCCAGCCCTCCCCACACAACGACCTGCCGGGGCTTGCATGCACTCACAGCCAGTTCAGGCCAAGCCCACGTTTGCTAGGCCCACACCGTGGGCCAGACACGGAAGTGACAGCAAAAAATAAGAGCCCTCCCTGCTCCCAAAGTGGGGTCCCTCCCCACTCTCCCTCCCGGGCTCAGACACCCAGCTGCTGCAACGCAGATTTAGCGCCCAGACAGGAAGAGGAACAGAGAGGTGTGTCTATCCGCGCGTGCACACCAGTTGCCAGTCTACCAGCCACGCGCTGTTTTCGCCCTCAAAGCCCCCAGTCACCGTTGACACAACACAGTGACTATTAGCTGTGTGCTTCTCGTGTGCAGAGCCCAGCCCCGTGCTTGTGTTCTGTACGCCGTCCTTGCAGCCGTCCTCGCCTGATCTCCACGCATGAACGAGGCTTGTTGCCCCGTGGCCCCACGGCCGGCGTGAGGTGGGGACGGCACACACCCAGCCGGCCTGCTCCGGTCCGTCCCTTGCTCTGCCACCTCCGCTGCCGGCTTCACCCCTTAAGTACCTCGGAGGTCTGCCCGCGTCTCTATCTGCTCGCTGTCCTTGTTGGAGCCGCTGTTGATTTTCACTTGGACAACTAACTGCTCTGGCCTATCGTCTCCCCGCATTCCTTCTTGTCCTCTACAGTCCACCAGCCACGTAGAAGCCAGCGCTGCGGTCAAAACCCATATTCAGTCGTGCCCCTTCCAGAGGCTTCTAGCGTAACACCCAAGCTCCTCCATGCAGTGTGCGAGGCCTGGGGCCATCTGTCCTCTGCCCGCTTCTCCTGCCTCACCTCCACCTGCTCCTGCGCCGCTATAGCCCAGCCTCACGGCCCCTGTTGGGGCCAGACTCCCACCAGCCGCAGGGCCTTTGCACAGCTCCACTCTCCTCAGCCACCTAAGGTCCTAAGGGACCTCCCCAGGAAACTCCCCCGAGGCCTCCTTTCGCGCCCCCAGAGCATGCTTCATGGCTCCTTCCTGCGGCTCCTCCCAGGGGCACGCACTTATCAGCTCTCCTAGCGACCCCTCCGCCAGGAAACAGAGCGGCGCCCGTTCGTTTGGTCTTTCTACTACATCAGCTTTTCTTTCCCTTTGCCTTTATCGCATTTTGTTGCAACCATCTACTGACTAAAACTGGAATTCCTTTCCACGTTTTCACCACATTTCCTGGAGGTCGTGACGGAAAGGCAGAGAGATGGGGATGGGAGGAAAAAGAAGAAACGAGATACATTCAGCAATTATCAAATTATCTAAACAGAGGGGAGTTCAGGTCATCCTCGAAAGGCAGAGCCCCTGCTATTTGATTAGACTTAGTGACCCAGGTGCATGGTTCTAAGAAATGGACCCAGAAATAGCCCGCGTCGTTCCCCACTCTCCAGCGGGCCTGTTCCACCAGCGCAGGGGGTGGGAGCCGGCTTGGCCGGCCTTACCTTTCGCTTTCTGTCACACCACCAAGACACTGACCGTAAATTCGGCGATTTTCGGCACCCGGAACTTCCCTTTGTTCTTCTGTTCAGGCTGATACTCCGTTCTTGTCTTCACGATCACCTGAAACGTTCGCCCAGTGTTAGCACGTGTGGAGACTGGAAACACTTCTCTTTCCTTTATTTTGCTAACTAGAATTTATTATATGTGGCATAAAGTCCATCCCTCTCAAACACATGCAAGAAACTAGAAAATTCAAATTACCCATGACACGTCCCCATTCCAACAGAGACAATCATAGGCAACGATTTCTGTCACGCCTTTCCAGATGTTTTTATATGCAGGTATTATGTATACTTGCTATTTATGCAAAAATATATATCCTGTTTATGATGGATTTATAGTCTATAAATTATAACCTGCTTTTATCATACAACACTATACTAACATTTTTTTGATGTAGACAAATATGTGGTAGTATTTTTGCCTTTAAAAAAAGATTTTATTTATTTAGTTTTAGAGAGAGGGGAAGGGAGGAAGAAAGAGAAAGATACATTGATCGGTTGCCTCTTGCACGCCCACAACCTGGGGACCTGGCCCGCAACCCAGGCACATGCCCTGACAGGGAATCGAACCAGCGGGACAGCACCCAACTCACTGAGTCACACCAGTCAGGGCATATTTTGCCTGTTGCTGTAGCATAATAGTCAGGGTATGCATATATTACAATTAATCTGATTACTCTCTATTGTTGAACGTTTAGATTGTTTCCACTGTTCGAGTTACACAAACAAGCTGTGATGAACATCCCGGAGCTCAGCCTTTGCACATATACTTAACTCCACTTTGATTTAGGGATTTCCGCAAACAAAAACACAAAGGCCTATTGAATCCACGTTACTCTTCCAAAGCCTGAATATCTTGCAGAGGCGGCTGCCATCTCACCGAGATGCGCTGTCAGCCTGCCGAGGCGCTGACGGAACCCTGCGCCCTGCGTGGGCGGCCGGGAGGGAGAAGCCGCCTGACAGGCAGCGCTGCTGGGAGCCGCCGTGCAGTGGGGAGCACGGAAGCTGTCCAAGCCCTGGGTCCCCGCCTGTGACATCCGGAAGGTGACCCTAACGGAACCCCTATTGCACGAGTCAGTGCGCCCTGTGAGCTGGGAGCCTTGGGGCGGTGACTGCCCGGGCCTTTTATGGTTGGCGGCCTCTAAGATACCAAGGTCAAAAATATATATAACTTGTAGAGTATTTGTTCCTATAACTTCTAGGTTTCCAACATATAAATCATTTGTGATATTTATAATATAAGTAACATTTCTTTTTAAAGTACTCCACTTGTCATTTGCAGGAAAGGGCGGGGGTGCAGAGTTTAGGCAGCACTGGGGTCGGTCAGAGCCTCCCAATCCACGCCCTGCTGGCCTTGCACGCCTATGAGAGGTCGCTGGGTGACTTTCGAATGGAAACAGTTCTTTCGCCTTCAGAGCCTCATTCCTCAAACCACCACGTCAGACACAGGCCAAGGGACAGGTGGGCACCTGACCCCGTGTCTGTCCCCCGTCGTCTGCTCCTCTCTGTAGCCCGGCCACGTCTCCCCCAGAGCAACCCAGGCTGCGACAGGAAACCTGACCGTCACCCCCGTGAGAGCGCTCTCTTGTTGGAACCCCATCTCCACACCCACAGCGGGCCTTTGCCCACCTGGCCTTTGCCCCCCTGCCTGGACCGATCGCCCTCCCTGACCTCTCGGCGGCCTGGGCGGGGCTCGCCGCCCGCTCCCGCTGGAGACGCCCTCCACCCGGCGGTCTCCCCCTTGGTTCTCCGCCTGCTCGCCGACCAGCCCGCCTTTGCTGGATCTCGGGGTTAGCATCCCTCAGGGCCAGGTCGTGGGCACTCTTCCCCCCTTTCCCAGCCCCCGCCCCGTGAGGGCTCTCACCCCCATCACTTCCAAGTCCGTCCGTAGCCCCACAGCTCCCACCTGCACACCTCCAGTTCCCACCGCGCCTGGCACGCAGGCTGCCCCGCTGACAGCCGCCCTCGGATCAGCGCACCTGAATGTGTCACGTCCATGGCAAAGCCCGTGGGCTCCCTGACCCACCTGCCCCTCGACATTTTCTTCCCCACGTGATGCCGAGCTCAGAAAATAGCAGCACTTTCCTCCACATCATTTATGTCAGATCACATCCAGGAATCACCCACGACCCCCCCGCCTCCCCCTTCATTCCCAAATCCATTCCATGCCCAGCTTCTGCTTCCTCAAGAACTGCTCCTGGGGTGACCCGCTTGTCCGGTTATGCCTCTGCCACCCCAGGAACATCAGCCTCTCTCTGGGAGCACGTGCCCAGGGGGCCTCGTCTACCTTCCTGCCTCTCCAAGCCCGGGGGGGGGCGCTCTCGGCACCGGGTGGGGCAGCATACACCAGCCGACACTCTGGAGATGCCCGGAGGCTGGCACTGTGGGCAAACTACAGAGAGGTGGTTCTGGGTGGCCAGAGAACAGGACGGGGCAGCGGGGAGCAGGCAGAGGCTCTGAATGGCACACCGCGCACCGTGGAGATGAACTTAGGGTGGCGAGGAGCAGAGGAAGCGTCCTGAAGCCGAGAAGGGCTGTCCAGATGTGCATGGCAGGCGGGGGCGGGGACCCTGCCACAGAGAACCTCGCCGGCCAAAAGAAGGGAGCAGAAAACCCAGCCCTTTGGAGTTCCTGGAATCGACCCACTGTGGGGCGTGTCGCGGAGCTCGGCGTTCTGTTCTTGCGGAGAGGAGCCAAAAACTGTCCCTTTCCATTAAAGGAGATACCATAACAGTCACTTTTTTTAGTGCTATGAAGGGGAAAGCATACGGATGTTAGCCAATCGTTATTAATTGGACCTTGGAGGAATCAGCTTGCATAAGCAAAGAAAGAGAAGAGGAAATAAATTTGCAAAGAAAGGCTCTGCTCTCAGCAGCTAGAAAAAAATGGAGCAAAGCAGAGCCCCGAGCTCCTTGAATAATCACAGAATTGGGGGCAGAAGCGAAGAGAGGACAGAAAAAAATTCTACTGCCTTTATTATTCAAAGGGGGGGCGGTGAGAGATATTTGGAAAAAATGAAACTCCAGATTTTCAAATATCACTGTGGATTTGGGCAAAGAAATAAATTTGTTTTCTTTTCATATTTCTGTATCAGTTCACATGGTCCTGTTGGTGGCTGATATGAAGAACATCATTTAACATAATTGTGAAATGATGGCATTGTGGAAATGGAATAAATTATTCATCCTGAAGGGACCCCTTGGCTGGATATATTCCCCGTCTGCTGGCAAGGCCAGATAATACATGGTGGTTCAGATGGTGCAAAGTACAGATCATAAAAATTTAAAATACTACTTCCCGGGATTATCAATAATGAAGAGGTTCCCACATGGCGAGGCCCCGGGATTGGCAGGAACAATAAATAAAAGCGCGGTAGTGCTGACAAGAAGCAAGATTGTATTTTTATGAGCTGGACTTGCATGGCCGTAAACAGAGGGAAGCGGCACCCTCGGCTCATCCCGGCAGTGGCGGCGCAGAGAGAAGCTCAGAGCAGGGCAGAGAGGGGCCGGCGGCTGAGTGCCTACTATGTGCCGGGCGCTGCGCTGGGGGCCCGGCTCCCTCTCCTAACTCCCCCTGCAACCTTCTCTCCGATGCTCGCATCTCCCCTTCAAAATCATCGTTCTTCCCATTTTTCAGGTGAGGAAATTGAGCCTCAGAGAGCTGTCACTGACCTGTGATCAAGTGACTCGTAAGCGGTTGCGGTGACAGTCAAGGTCAAGGTTCTCTTGCTCTTTTCTGTCCGTTTCTGAAAAGGGGGTGCCCGCCCTGTGCCCGGCACTGGGCCGGTTGCCTCGCTCCTACATCGCAGCCCACCCTCTCCACACGGTGGGAGAGGGGTGGTCATCCCATCCTACAGGCAGGGGCACAGATGGCCCCACCGCCCGACATGGCCACGAAGAGGCAGAGCCAACCTGGAACCGGGGCTTCTGGCCCAGATCCAAGTGCCACCCGCTGGTGAGGTCATCACTCAGGAATCATTAAACGACAGCTGTGTGGCAACGGGCAGTGGGGCGAGATGAGGGAGTGCCCGGGGGTCTCTACCAGGGGCTTCCAGCTCCTTCTGCTCTGAGCAGAGGCTGCTCCCTGGGCTGGAACCGCTGTCCGGGCCCGCCACCTATGGTCCCGAGGCTCGTCCACTTCACCCCCCGCGCAGCTCGGCTTGCGGCCAGGACCAGCCACTGCGCTCCCGGGAACAACGATCCTGGGGCTGAAGTTCATGACGATGACAATAGTAACAGCCTTGCATTAAGCGTATACTCCGCACCAGACACCGTGACAAACATTCGATGTGTATTGTGTTTTCTTATTTCACCCCATGAACAGTTCTCAGAGGAAGATATCGTTCTCATTCTAACAATGAGAAATTGGGGGCTCAGAGTGGTGAGTGAACTTGCCCGGGATCACACAGCAAGTGATGGGAGTTAGGATTCAAGTCCAAACAGCGCTGCTTACGCCTCCCTCGACATGCTTGGACCCTCCTCACTCCACGTGGCCTCTCCGTGTGTGACCGCGAGCAAGTCACTTAAGCTCTCCAAGACTGTTTCATCATCTGGGAAACTGGGGCGATTTTAGTTAAAAAACAGAGAACTTGATACATGCTCATGGTAAAAAGTATTAAAAATATAGCATAAAATTCTTAAACGGTCCCACCCACCCCATCCCTACACCTTAAACATTTAATGGTTTTCTTGTGAGACTTTCCGAACTGTTTTATAAATTATAAGAATAAAACATACCCATGTGTCTCGAGGAATGGGATCACCATACGATACTCTTTAAAGTTGCCTTAGCTGAGCAATGCGTCTGTCGAGTTAGCACAAGCAAATCTGCCTCATTCTCAGTTTTCCACATCCAAACCCCAGACCTTGTTTAATCCACTCCTTCTCATGGAATATTCCTGTTGTTCCCAGTTTTTTTTCATATATATATGTGTGTGTGTGTGTGTGTGTGTGTGTGTGTGTGTGTGTGTATATATACACACCTTAATATCCTTGCAAAACTATACCCACAGGATACCTTCCTACCATCTGGAAGCCTGCCAATAAAATGGTACACATA